CTATCTATCTATCTATCTATCTATCTATCTATCTCTCTGTCTCAGAATATAAACAATTCTAATAATACGTCACACGCATAAAACACAAGCCTTTGTTTCATTCTAGCTGCCAAGAAAGGCGCAGCGCCACCTTTATACCTTGCCCGTCGTACACTTACTCCCACGCTTTTCTCTGTTTCTCTTTCTTTCACTCACCTACTCGCGGTGGCATGATATCTCGCCCGATTTTTTCCTCCTCTCTTCTATCTTAAGTCAATTGCATAAACGAACCTATTGTCATCCACGAACGCCGTATTCTTTATATATTCACTTTTCGTTTTCAAAAATTACCATATATTTTATATATCATAGCTTTTTTGCAAAAAATCGCATTTTAGAAATGGAAATAAAAGCGACGTAAAAATAAAAATAAAAATAAAATGTGATATATATTAATTTCACATGATAAAAGTAAAGATGTCAATAATTAAGCATAACTATTTTAAATAAATAATTTGCACATAATTAAATAGCATTTACTAATAACACGTGTGTGTATATGAGTCATATAATGTATTGTTACTTATAATGTGTGTTGAGGTTTACTTAGTACATAGTTTTACGGCTTGTTTCCAAACAGATATTTTTAATACGCCAATACATCGACTTTATTTGATAAATTTAATACTATAAAATTATAAAAAAAAAAAAAAAAAAAAAAAAAAAAATTATATTTAATTTGCGACGTGTTTCTCAATCTATTGTCACGTATAAATTTCCGTAGATTAAAAAAAAATTATAAAACAAAAAAATAAATAATACTATCAATATCGTATTATTAATGAACGTCTGGTCTTTAGATATTTTTTTTTCCACTATTCGTTTTCCAATATACGATTTTAATATTATTACGTAATTACTAGACTTCAAAAAAAAAAAAAAAACCTATTTTGACATTCAACAATATGCGCCAAGAATACTCTTTTCGTATATTCCCTCATTCGATTTCAAACTTTTACGGTTGAACGTAATAGCACGCATGTTTTAAGTAGTTGCAAATAAAATTACATTACTAATATTGACGCATAAAAATAGTAGCGTAAATGTTGTCTGTTGTATAATTAGAATAAATTATTTATTTCGTATATGCAGTTAATAATGGTTCATAAAAAATAATGTTTCTATTAATAAGGAACGTTTGAAATTACTGCTGCATAGTATTTAAACACATTGCGATAAATAAATAATTTTGTATTTATTACATATGAATTAATAATTTTTTAGAAATGTAATAAAAAATTTCGTTTGTATAAGTAAGTCGGCAAATGTCAAATCCAGTTTCTCAGTAGACTATAATTTCACTATAATTTCACTATAATTTCACTTTAACGTTGTGGCATTTAGCTTAGAGGTCCGAAGCACTTTGATAGATTTGGTATTTCCAATATTTGATATCGTTAGCGACACAAATGTGATGAGATATTCAACTCGGATTCTATGAGTCAGATTATTAATATTCCATTCTGAGCATACGTGTGCATAAAAATTGAGTGAAAGTTGGTACTGCGAAATTCGTTATTTATTGTTAAGCGAAACACATGTCCTTATTTTCATTATTTTCAAATACAATATAATTTAATAGAATGTGAAAAGTTAATTATATTTTTATTTATATTTCGCGTTCGGTATTATGAAGTAAAGTGCAGAAGAAATTTGCAATTAATAATAAGCTATGAGATAATTAATGGATATCACGATCGATGTAACAATATAGGCTTGATTTTATCAATATTCAGTCTTACAACAATACGCAGGAAAAACTTATCATATAAAAAATAAAAATAAACAAATAAAATATACATAGAAATAATGCTGCATTTAGCATGTTACAGTTAAATAAAAAACACCTTACGTAAGTAATTCCTCATAAAGTTAAATAATTTTTTAATTAGTCGTTAATGAAAAGGAAGATAAATCGTGCAAATTTATCTTTACAATGTGTAAATGAAAAACAAAATTAGCTTGAAATAAGTTTGTAGTGCTACATAATTACTTAACCTGATTGAAATATACTAATTTATATAATTTCGCATTGCGATTGTCTATAATTTAATAATTGCAATTTCATATTTTTATTATCACGAGAAAGGTACTTTCTATGAACTTCCACATAAATTCTAAGTATTCGCTAGGTTATCAAATTGTATTACGTGAGTCAAGTCTGTTCTGATTACGAAACATCCATTTATAAAAAGTATCAGTTCGTATAAGTGCAAGGCATTTCTCCAAGCAATAACCGCCTTAAAAGTGGCGGTAAATTCCCCGAAAGCATTTATCATCCAGAAGGGATATGAAGTAAAAACCGAATTAAGCTTTAATTGCCTGTATACATTTATATATACATACTTTTATTTATTTATTTATATTATTATTACTTTTACCTTATTTATGTGTTACAAATGCATTCAAGTGCGCTATTATAATTGCAAAATAGGATTATTAGTGGCACCAGAGAGATTTCATTCGTATTTATTTGAATTCTAACCACCTACGGAATTATTAGTATTTTATTTTATAATAACGAAACGCAAAAAAAAGAAAGAAAGAAAGAAAATAATTTTGTTAATTAAAAAGTGCTTTTTCATTTTTTTCTTTTTTTCTTTTTTTTTTTATTGTTAATTCTATTTTCTGATAAAATACGACAGATTACGATTTTGTCGTTGTTTTTTTTTTTTTTTTTTTTTTGTGTTTTTTTTTTTTTTTTTTTTTTTTTATTGTTAATTCTATTTTCTGATAAAATACGACAGATTACGATTTTGTCGTTGTTTTTTTTTTTTTTTTTTTTTTTTTTGGTCATGTTTTTGCTTTTGCTTTGCTTTGCTTTGTTTGAATTAAAAAGCGAAATCTCGTTAAGAAAATACTCCGCTCGTATAAATCCAAACACTCACAACTTACTCTAGATTTTGAACGCTTATTCAAACTTATTCAATACCTTGCGAGTTACTTTCTAAAACGAAATGTTTTGCGTGCGCGCGTGCATATTTATACAAGATAAGAGTGCATCTAGTATCGTATGTTATTCATAACAAATGAAGTTTATATGATAATTCAGGCCCTATTTTCTTTCTCGCGAATTTCACGAACTACTTAATACAATGAAGATTGAGTAATGCCTGAATATTCTCGTTTATGATTGTGAGAAAAAATTCAATTTCAGATTAAATTAAACAGAAATTGTGCAAAAACGAATCTTATGAAATTCCTTCGGTAAGCGATTTAGCAAAAACCTACATTAAATCACTGCTATAATTATTGAACTACGTGATTCTCTGTATTATATGTCCTTTGTTGAACGATGATAATTGAGTCTAATCACAAGCTACTAATGTTGTGATTTCTAATCTATCTATCCATCTATTTCTCTAATAAATTATTATCGACAATACAAAGCCTATAATTTGCCACGTGTGTAATGCATACACGTATATGGCCATTTATACTTATCCGAATACGAAAGAACTTTAAAATGCACCAATTTTATTATAAATTTCGTGGAATGTCTTATAAGAAACAAATAATAATGTATGCCTTGTAACATTAAACCTTCTTATAAAGAAAGTATTGTGAATTAATGGCATGCGCGACCGACGTGAAACGAAAGGCTTCGTTCCAATATCTGTACTTTTGATTGGTAGACGCACCAAGATGTCAAGAAAAATAAATTAACATCATAAATATAGATGGCAGATGCAAGTTTATGGGACACTATCACTCTATAGATTAGATTAGATACAACATTAAAAGTAAAATATTGCGTCTCGATCGAAAAGTTAAAGTCCTTCACGTTATTCTTCATCTGGACTATGAAATTCCTCCTACTGAAAAAAAAAGGAGAGAAAGGTCGATTATCGAAAGCTGATCACCAAACAATCGAGAACCGCACACGTAATTCACTAATAATGCACAAGCCAGTTGTTAATATAGTTTCGGCCAATTAATTCGAACGCCTCGGCCATAACAGATCCGTTGCGTAAGAAATCTTGCCAAACATACTGCGGTACGCGTCATTCAAAATAAAATAAAATAAAAAAATATATATATATATATATATAAATTCCCATGCGATATTATTATCAAACGTATGCAATCAATTCCATTCTTCGGGCAATTTCATAATTCTTGCCGATATATTCACGAGCGCGTAAAGGCGTAAAGGCCAACGAGACTCGCCTCCCCAATCCACGACCGCCCCGAAAAATTATATTCCCTTATAGTAATACTACTACTATATCCCTACCACTATTACCACTACTACTACAATCACTATTGCTGCTGTTACTGTTGCTGCTGTTACTGCTGCTGCTGCTGCTGCTGCTGCTGCTGCTGCTGCTGCTGCTGCTATGAGCACGTCGGATCGACGCGTTCTCGGCCAGCTGAAAATTTCTCGCAAAATCTATGTGACAACGGCCTCCGGGATAGCCTACGGTTGTCCCACACGACAAGTCCGCGGATTAAAGCAGCGGCCACGTTACCAGATGCTCCGTCATTCGAATTCACAGTGGCTAAGAAAGGTGGAAGGTGGGCGAGCGGCGCCGAGTAGCTCGTAGCTACGCCAGTGGATCGTGGATCGAGAGGAAAAAAGCTTGGCGTTTCGCAAGGTGAGTGACAAGTGGATAGGCGATCTTTGGCCTGGGATTGGGGGCCCAGGGCCGAGCGAGACCCGGCGCTCGCGCTCTCGCGCTTCCTCAGCCTCGTTCGTGAGGAATGTTGGTTTCGCAAGTGTCCTTGATAGCAGGACTCGTGGGTCCGGATGGGTACGTTACGTACCTTGGGTCTGACAGGTCGCGAGGCCCAGGAGAAAGCCGCAGGCCAAGAGTAGAGGCGCAGGTCCCCTCATGTCGCGCACTTCCGCTCGATCGCGACTCCGGACGCAAGCTTAGGGTTGGCCTGTCGCGGGGGGGAAGCTCGCATCTTCAGCCGGGGCCCGCACTCGGCGTCGCTGGACATGGGGCCGCGGCACCGCAGCTCGCGCTTCGTTCGCCGGCTTCGTGGTGCCGCTTACACCGCGCCGAGAGAGCGGAACAAACTGAGAGGAGCGAGGAACGCTCCGACTAGAAAGCGCGCGCTCCCCGAGGTACTTTCACTCCGTGGGAGTGGGAGAACGAGGCCCCCGGGGACAGAGTCTCGGCTGACCCAGGGCCGTATGCCCTTGTCTTTTCGCCTCTCGCCATTTTGGCCTTCGATTTTTCGAAGGGAGCCGAGAGATGCCACGACGCCGCTTGGCGGAAGCTAAATTATTATCGTTGTGCCAGAATACTTTGCTCACCGAGCTTTTCAACTACCTAGAGCTCTACCGCTGGTATTAATAGTTGAGCTTTTTTTTTATTACTTTAAACTTTTTTCCGAACTAAGCGATCTCGACGAGCCGTTTAGGCGATTCGGCACATCAGCTGTCTTGTAATTATGCGGTCAATCATCTCTTTGGGAGGACACTTATTCTTCCTAACAGTGCTCGACTCCTTTGTACATTTAACTATTGTCGTTCGAATATCGATAATAATCTTGTTACTTGCCAAATAATTCTGTATCTACTTTGCGTAAGCAAACTACATAATTGCACGAGATACGCATTTGTGTTCATTCTCATCGTTACGATTTCAAAGGAAAGTTTTCCCAAACAATATTTAATTGGATATTTAAATCAAATAAGGTTTAAGAAAAGTGAAAATCCTTGCAATGAAGCCGTTCAAATTAAAGCAGAAATACTCGCTATAAACGCAATATATGCTTAAAATTTAAAATACTTAAGCTTTTTTAAAATCTTTCATTGATCATTGATGATGCTTGTGATATTTATTCAGAAATGTATGAAATTATTTGGTTTGGAACTTATTAAGCGGAATTTTCAAGTGAGTCGAACGATTTCTTACTGGAATGAAATTTTCCATAAGAGTTAGAAAATATAAACTGGTCATAAAATCTGGTTTATCAGGATTAAAATGAGAGTACATTAGAAATCGAATTGAAAATGTGACATTCGTAGAGAAAATGTAATAAAAACGAAAAATTAATCAACCATTGCTTTAATATTTCAATCTTGTACATAAAAATTTGAAACAACGTTAAATACATTTAAGCATAATATTTTAATATAAGAAATTAATATTTTATATATACATTTACAAAATAATATATATATATATATATATATATATATATGTGTGTGTGTGTGTGTGTGTGTGTGTGTGTGTAAAAATAAATATACGTATTAGCATAATTGATTTTATTACCAAAAATAAAAATTTTTATTAATAGTCATATTAATGATTAGTTTAATTACTTGTTTTTTTAAATAACCTTTTATATTTATATATTGCAATAATGCATCATGTATGTATTGTAATATATTTCGATATTTTTATAAATTGTGCCATAGTTTGAAATCACTTGCTATTAAAACCTTGAAAATCTCGAATCTAATGGACTTTTAATAGTGATAAATTTTAAATAACTTCCTACTAATGTCTCAATCTGATTTTGAAATAAAAAAATTTTCTTTTTTCATTTTCCATTGTGATTTAGAAAATTTCTTCATTTACATATTTGAAATATAATCTGTAATTGTTAATATATTATTATCTATATTATCTATATTATGTTAATTATTATCTCGCAATTAATATTATTATCAATGAAATGTTTTGAGCGTTTGGTTGTTAAATTTCAAAATGTACTCTTTATTAATAAAGTATATTCCGAATATACTCTTGAAAACTTTTTAAATGCACGATCTACTTGTCATTTGCTCAAATACAATATTTCAATATGCTAGAAAATCGAATAAGAAAGATGCTCAGCCTTGTTTACTTTTTTATGCATATCTATTCGAACTTTTCGCTACTTCGTTATCGTTTTATTTTTTAAAAAAGCCGACAAATTGTAATATTTAGTGGACAGGTTGTGAAAAAGCTTTTGAACTTATATGTTTGACAAACTTACTTCAAAGGGCCATTCTTCTTAGTATATAGTTAAGATATTTTTCAATCTTCTAAAAATTCTCAATACTTTCACTTTCATCATACAGCCAAAAAAACATGCTTGATCTATAATTTGAAAATGTTCACCTTATACAGTTATTAAGAGATTCGTTTCTGTTTTCATCTAACTTGCAATAGTTTATATTAATGTATATATATATATATATATATATATATATATATATATATATATATATATATATATATATATATATATATATATATATATATATATATATATATATATATCTGTACATACATATACATCTGTATCACCTCTCTAGTAAATAGTAAAAGAGATGGAGATTGGCAGGGTGGAGTGGAGATATAGTGACAGATAGAGGAGGGAATGGATAGAGATAATGGGAATGGAAATAGAGAGAAAGATTAATAATTGCCCGCGCAATCAATCAAATGTAGAAGTTAAAAAGATACGCGCACGTAATAATGAAAATAATCGTAATGAAAATAGGGTAGTAAGAGAGGGAAAACAGCGCCTCCGATCCTCGCTAGGCCGTCACAAGTCCAATCGCCAAATGCAGTTGAGATCGAGCGACGGTGAGACTCAAGAATGTTCTTATGTGCACACCCATGCATACGCACGACAGTATTCTCAACGAAGAATGCAAAGACGATATAAAAAGCAACAAACAAAAAAAAAAAAAAATAAATAAATAAATATATAGACAAAGATCAAAAAATGAACAAAAATACGCATTCCATTGACTTGTTTATCAGACGCTTATTTCCTTAGCGATTTAATTACGGGGCTATTAAGAATCGCGATGAGTTCATGTCGGTTCACGCTAAGAAAGATCAGTTCAAGACATTGTCTTGATAAGTTCGAGCACGCATCACTTTTTGCTTTCAAAAATTAAGAAAAAAACAGTTAGTGAGCAACAATGATCGTTTCATCAGCACGAAGTTGTACAGATATTCGCGATATTCACTGCATCGATAAGACTCGCGCATTCGATGTTTCAAGGTACACTCGACGGAGGTTGAAAAAAAAATGTTTTCTTTGAAAATGAATAAATATAAAATATAAAGACCTTTAGAATATGTAACTAAACACTAAAAATTAATATGTAATATGAACAATTAACTTTTTAAACGCACCGGCAAACAGATAATTTCATCATTGAAAAGTGCTGCGTCGTCTTAAGCTGGTAATTATTACGCTTAAAATTAACCAAGTAGATTGCAAGTAGAAATCTATAATTATATAAAATAACACGCATAAGTCTAGCTCATAAAGTATTTATAAATTCATAATGCTTTCCTTTAGTCTTTATAAGAAAATTAATGTCGCTTAGTTTGAAAACGAAGAAAGCAGCCATAAAGTTATAAGATTTATACCTTCGGCTGCGGATTTGCCAAAAAATCGCCAAACCATTTTTAACAAATAAAAAAAATTAAAATAAAAACTCAAAGAATGGAACATTAAATTTAATTGAGATAGAATCTTATTTTTGGATTACTACAATTTATTTTTCATTTTACATGTGATTGCATATGCAGTGAGTAAATTACCAAAGCAAAGTTGAAAGACTCAAGTTGAAACAAGTCTAAAGATAATTTTAATATATTCTAAAAAGCACTAATTAAGTGACATTTTCATGAAATTTCTCTTAAAATACTTTTTAGATTAACTAGAAATTAGGCTTTTAATTATAGTGGAGCATATAAACGCCCCTCGAGCAACAAAAACAAAAAAAATGTCTAAAAAATCATTCACCCTTTGACCTTATTAATTATTAATAATTTTAATCGCAATAGTAGGGCATATTTTGTAATTAAAAATAAATTAATGAAATCTTTTAATAAAAACCAATAATATAATGAGAGTAATTAGATTAATTTGACGAATGCATCCTATCGAAACGATTAATTGAAGTATCAGAAGCTGTGAAGCAATGTCCCTTATTTTCAACGAATAATCATCCAAGATATCAATGAAACATCACGGGATATTCTGGATTTGCCGAGCGTAAAATTTTTGTCAACACGCATCGGCACGTGCGTCATATCATCTACATGGATGCTCGCATACGTGTATCCCCGCCTGTCGGCAAGCCGCGCAACTCTCATGAATTTTTCCGAAGGTCAATTAAAATGGCTCTTGCCTCGTTCCCAAAATGAAGGGGAATGCAGTAGGGAGTCCACGCTACAATGCAACCCTTAATTTATATAATTTATTGATATGCGTAAATAGATTGAATCGCCGACGATAGATAGATAGGTTGATGGAACGTATAGTTTGGAAAGTTTGTACCCTCGTCTCCTGTTTTATTGAACGAACCTAATATGGAGCGACTTCGATGTGCCGTTGGCAGACTTATGTTTTCTTCCTCTGCTGCTTTCATTTTGTAACGCCTGAGAACATTATTTCATATAGACATTATTTAAGCCGCCAGTAAATATTACACTTTTTATTACAAGCTAGAAAGTTCACGCGCGTATAATAAACTTTTTTTATAGTAATTTCCAGGTATTTAATATATTGCGTTGAGCAAAGTGTTAAATAGATGCATTCGTTATGTATCACGTGAGTATTATTATACAAAATGTTTTGAAAAAAAAAGAAGGAAAAACAAATTGTGCCATTTAGATATTTCAATAAGAACATATCATAATTAGTTTACAATATAAGAGTACGATATATTGTAAAATTACTTTAACAATATACAAATAACAAGATTACATTTTGTCTACATTAAATTTCTGATGCATCTTATTTTCATCATGAATTTTATATTCTTTGAGAAGAATTTTATTAGATATCCACAAAATAATAAAACATAAATTATAAAATATCATGCTGGTAAAAGTATCATAGCATGGTAAAAATGCATAGAAAAATTACTATTATGTTAAATTTTGCTTATTTTATTTAAATGAAGAAATTAATCGACTTTGTGATATTAACTATGTGATTACCAACTTCAACATTCTAAATGAAATATTATTAATCGATAGTTAATCGATAAACTATTTACTAATATACTAATATTTCATTTACTAATATAAAATTTATAATCATTACCGATTATA